CAGGCTGCCAAAGTTAATTATTCATCCTTTTCTTTATTGGATTCAGATTACATTTTAAAGGTACAACTTCAGGAGATTTGCTGAGCCTTGCCTGTTCCCCCTTAGCCCCTGCCCTCCTCCCCCAGGAAACCCTCAGGGAGGATGTTCAGACTTTGCAGAGGGGTCTGAGGGTGGATTTCAGTGCTGGGCAGCCCCTGGCACATCTGGCAGGTCAACAAACAGGAAAATCCATCTGCACTGCAAGGAGCTGCACCGTGGGCAATTTCCTGTGGGATGGAAGGCTGACCAAAAGGGAGATGGAAATGTGACTCACTCTTCAGTTTGGACTTAGGGCACAATGCAGTTGCCATGGCATTTCCAGCAGTGAGCAGATTACTGGTTTGATGACATGAATCCCCTGCACGGGCACCTGCAAACGTCCTGGGCTGCACCAGAGGCAGGATGTCCTCCTCAGCTTGCAGCACTCCTTTTTGAGGCTGTAAAACCTTCTTTAGTTCAAGCACTTGCCTTTATCTGGAAGATGAATTGTTTTTCAGAAAGGAGATTTCTAAAGTAGTTTGGACAGTGAAATTACTGCTTTTGCTGTCTAAATAGTGAAGCTGTAACTTGGTACAGGGACAAACCCTGCCAGGATCAGCTGTGACAAGCCTTGGTTGAAGCATTTGAGCTCAGCCCTTGTCTGATGCGTGACCTCTGAAGGCAGAAATAGAGGGATGCTTTGCAGAAAATGTTAGGTTAGAACTTTCCCAAACAGTCCCTTCCTTTGGAGAAAGCCAAAAGTTCACTCTTTGCCAAGCAGAAGAGGTGCAGTCAATGGCTGAGAGGGGAATAACTTGGAAAAGGACAGGGACAGGAGGGCACAGGTCCCCTGGAAAAAGGGAGCACTGAGCAGAGAGCCAGGAGGTGCCCTGAGCTGCCCAGGGGCTGTTGTGCTCCTGTGTGTGGTCACTCAGTAACCTCACATACCTGAGGAGCTTTTCTCCTCCAGACACAAACAGTTTTTCTTGTAGAGCCTACTGAATAAGTCTTTCAGCCTGAATGACCTTTCCCAGCTCCTCCAGATACCAAAAGTACCATCTCATTATAATAATATATTTTCATCTTCCGTACAGTAATTTATAAACAGAGGGGTTAGATATCACTTTTTTTTTTTTTTTTCATGAGCAGCATTATAAATGAAGGATATGTTCTTGGAGTCTGAACTGGTATCTTTCCAGGATCATTTCTCAGGCTTGCTTGTGAGTTTTTGCTTGCCTGTGAGTTTCCAAAATAGAAGTGTTAAGCAATGTAGTAAGTTCTTTTAGGAGGGAGAGCAGGGGTGGGGCAGTGGGCTGTGCTGCCACAGGAGGGTGGATAATCCCCTTCTTTGGCCAGGCTTTCAGCAGCTCTCAGGGTAAGGGGGTTACAGCCTCAGCTGAAAGGGTGGGAGTTTTATGCAAGGTTGGAATTTCTGATTTCACCTTGTCAAAGCTGAAACTCAGAAACATCTGTCTCTTAGTGTTGGTGATTGCTGACACTCACAACTGGATGAGCTCGTTTCCTGGCTTTTCAGAGTAAAAGAATGACCATGCAAACACGAGGAAGCAAAACATTTTACAAGAAAAGAATAATTTAATGTAGATTGGGACAACAGTGAGAATCAGGCTCATGGGACGACTTCACAGATTGCTCAATGTTTTATTTGGTACTTTTTAATGCTATTTTCCTTAATAATAGCATTGCAGCTTGATTAGAGTTTTTGTGCTGACTACAAAAACACCCCAAATTACTGTTTTATATTCCACATCATGCAGGAAGTCTGTAAACTTCCAAAAAGACAAGCTGAGGTAAGGTAAAATCAGCCCTTATCAGAGCATTGGAATTAATTGAAATAGTTTCTTAGTGAGGCCCAATGCTTTGGCAAGCCAGGTACTTTAACAAATTGCTCCTTGTTGTCCCCTCAGCTGAGAGCACACCACAGCCAGATGTGCTGTGACAGCTGGCTGAGAGGTTTGTGGAGATCTGATGTCTTTAAACACAGGTTCTGTCCCTCCTTCAGCACAGCCCTGCCGTGGGCTGCACACCCTGGGAACCATTCCTAGCCTGTTCTTGTGCTCTGTTCTGTGCTTTTTCCTGTTCTTTCCCTGCAGTTCACACCTGCACGGGCAGGAGCTGCTTTCTGCCCTCCTGCAGCCCAGCTCTGCCCCAGAGCAGCCCCTGCAGGCTCCCCTGGTCCTTCCTGGCCATTAAACCCGGCTCAAAGCCCAGCCCAGCTCTGTCCCTCACTGGGGGACTGCAGTGGTGCTGCTTGTCACAAAGCTGTTACCACACTGATGTCAGTATTGATTTAGGAGCAGCACTCTTAGAGCCTCATCAGATTTTGGTTGTGTTCACCAGAGCAATTTCCAGCTCACAGATGCAGGGACCTCTGTAGGTTATTTCAGGTTTCAGTGAATCTTCTACATTTATTTGTAGAAGAGATTTTTTTACCCTTTTTCATTTCTAAGTCACAGGGGTTTCTGGAGAAAGGCTGAACTAAAACCCAGATTTTCTTAGAAACATGACATCAAAGAAATTAGAGAGAAAGAAATAGCTATATGATTGTAGTCCTCTTTTGGATTACCATGGGAAAAAACCAAACAGTTTGATTTGGGGGGATGGAACCCCTTTCCCACATGGAGAGAACTGGGTTTGTTCAGCCTGGGGAGGAGAAGGCTTCAGGCTGACCTAGTTGTGGCCTTCAGCACCTGAAGGGAGCCTGCACATGGAGAGACAGTTTGCAGGAGAGGCAGTGACAGGGGAAGGGAGAATGGCTTCAAAGGGAAGGAGGGAAGGTTTAGAGCAGACATTGGGAAGAAATCCCTCCCTGGCAGGGTGGGCAGGGCTGGCACAGGGTGCCCAGAGCAGCTGGGGATGCCCTGGATCCCTGGCAGTGCCCAAGGCCAGGCTGGGCACTGGGGCTGGAGCACCTGGGACAGTGGGAGGTGTCCCCTCCATGGCAGGGGTGGCACTGGGTGGGATTTAGGGTCCCTTCCAATCCAAACCACTCTGTGATTTTTGCCCATTTCCACTGGTTTGCTCCTCAGGATTTGTCTGTGGCAGTAAGGGCACCACCAGCCCTTTGAGAGCTCTGCCAATGCAAACACCAGGACAGAGCACTGTAAACCTGAACTCTCCCTGAGCAGGGAAACTCTCTAGGGAACATTTTCTGCCTTAAGAGAAAGTATTTCTGCTGAGAAATACTGATTTCAGAGTGATTTTACATCTGAAAAGCTTCCTCAGCTCCCCTCCTCCTTCTGTAGAGCTGTGAGCCACCTGCAGCCAGGGAGGAGGGTGTCTGCTGGAGGCACCAGGAAACAGGGCCCATGCATTTTGGACATGAATATACCTGAAGGGGAAATCACTTCAACTGCTCCATTTGCCACACAGATTATTCCTGTTTCAGGAATACTCTCTGAAGAATGCCTGTACATGCCTTCTTTGGGGATGACAGCATCTCTTGTAGGAATTATCTGGAGCTTTTAAGCTGTTCCAGTACACAGAACTCTTTTGTTTCTGTAATTGATGCTGTCCAGTCAGGGAAAAGAAATCTGTCTTTGGCTGAAAAAGAAAAAATACTCAAGAGCTGCATCATATTTCCTAGGAACAGTAACACCATAGCAACAGTTGTCTTTCAGTGCTGCTGCATCCCTTAATGGCTCTCAGACTGCTGAGCTCTTCTGCTGGAAACTCAGCACACGTGAGTGAGCTGCTGCAGTTGGCAGATAATTACAGCAAAAACCTACACACACAACACTTCTTTTTGTCTGTATTTATGTTTTCCCGTGACCACATGGCACATTATTTCTCTCCTTTAAAAGGAATTTTAATGGGGAGTTTATTGGTAGAGCTGCTTTGGTTTGATAATCTCTAATGGAATACTTCGTTTGGGTGTGAAATTTTATTGTGTGTCTGGAAAATAATAGAAAATCCCAAACATATGTGAAAGGAGTAGTTTTTATTAGATAAATGTGCTATAAAAAAAGTTTTGGAAAGGCATTCTTCCTTTTAGTATTTTTTTATATTCAATGAATATTTTTCAGCTTGGAATTTAATTAATAGAAAATTGAGATTGAGTATTTCAAGCATCAAAAGTAATACTTTTTGATTGACTAATTTTTTTTCCTCCAGTTTATGAAAATGTCAAGTCTATCCAAAATCAAGTCAGGAAAAATGTTTGAAAATTCTTCTAGGATGAGAAAGCTTTTTCCTGCCTAGCTCTGTTCTACTTATTACATGTTAATACTGCCTGGCTCCCTTTGTTGGGTGTGGCTCTTTTGTCATTTTTTTATGAGAACTTGCATGGAAAATTGAAACACATGCTGATTAATTTAATTTGAGTGGCCAAACCACGCTGTTCTTCTTGCATTGACTCTGTCCAGGTTCAACACAGATCCTGGTGGAGAGCACTGTGGAGCTACAGTTTAAATGTTCCTAAAAATGGCATTACCTCCTCAAGAGATGCCAGCAGGTCGAAGCAGAGGCCGAGAGCAGAGGTCTGCCCTGCTCTGCTCACACTGGCTCCTTGCTGGGGCTTTCCATCCTTGGTGTCAGCCCAGCTCCCCCAGCAGGCCCTGCTGGCTCCATCCCTTGCACAGCACCAGCAATGGATCTGTCATTGTAATGCTGGAAACGGCTCTGGAGGATGGGCTCTCTGGTTTGCTGGGTCTGCCTGCACGGGGTGCTCGCACAGGGATGGGAATGACAGGGAGCATCCCGGGGAGCACTGCTGCCAGCATTGCTGCAGCATCCCTGGGAGCATCGCTGCAGCATTACAGGGAGCATCACTGGGAGCATCACAGGGCCCTGCAAGCACCCCGGATGAGCTGCCCAGGCTGCCCGAGCCCTGCAGCCAGGCAGGAACTGCTGCTGCTGGGGACCCGGCTGTGACACAGGGCAGGGACACCGCGGGCAGGGCAGGGCTGGCCGTGCCGGGTGTGCCACCACTCACAGCTGTGTTCTGCTCTCTCCTCTGCGTGCAGCTAACCAGAGAACACCAGGTGGCCCTCTCCTCCATCACTTACATCGGCTGTGCTCTGTCCATCTTCTGCCTGACGATCACCCTGGTCACGTTCGCTGTGCTGTCGTGAGTAATTTTAACTTCATACCTGCCGAGCAGCTGGCACGCAGAAAGGCAGGCAGGATCCCTTCAGCTGCTCAGGATAAAACAAAGGCTATTAATTCTACAACCTTCCTTAATTAGATTCTGCACATGTATTTGTAACACTTGGTTGGTTATCTCTAAATTACTTTCATTTCCTGAAATGGGATGGTCTTTATATAGCAAGCTATTTCAAACTCATCAGAGATTTAAAATTTTTTTAAACTGTCCATGCTTTGCTATAGTTCAGGACTCTTGCAAAGAGCCTTGTAGGAGGTCTTGGTCTGGACTCCAGCACAACGTGAGCAGGGACTGCAGGACCACCCCTCTGCCCCCCCAGATCTTCGGGTTGCTTGGAGTTTACAGGCAGCACTCTGCTTTTCCACTGCCCTGTCTGTAAGGCAGGGTGTTTAGAAAGGAATGCCCAGTAAGGAAGTCTCAGTCAGCACTGGCTGCCTGACTCCAGTTTCACACAGCTGGTACACAATTACCTCACACAGCCCACGTTTATGTTCGAGTGTCTCGCTGCTCTCCATCAGGCTGGTTTGCTGGGGTGCTTTAGTGGGTGAAGGACACTGTGAGCAGTGTGAAATTCACTCCACGGCTTGTGGTTAAAAACCTCTGCACTTCCTGCCCAAAGCAGGGCACCCTGTGAGGGCTCTGTGCTGGGAAGGTTTCTGCCCCAGGGCACTCAGGACCTTTATTCCTGTTTATGTTCCAGTAGTGACAAATGAGTTTGAGGCCCAGCTGGGCTTGATACAAACATTTCTGGAAAAAAGCTTTCATAAAGGTTTGTGTCTAAATAAGAAACAGAAAACCTGACTAAGGGTGAAATAACTTGTCCAAGGTTGTGCAGCACTTTGGGAGTACAGCAAGGAGGGGGATTCTTGTCTCCTTTCACACACTAAACCGTATTGTTCCTGCTTAAGAGTTTGATTCTTGTTTTCTGTGCCTAAGTATGTATTTTGGACATCTGTTAAGAGGCCAGTTTCTAGGGAAAAGGACTAGCTGAATCTCAGTAAACTGATTGCAATGCTTGTTTATTTCCAGACCCAGTATTATTTCCAAGTTTCGAGATCTGTGTTGGTCATACTTGGATTAAAGCATAACGTGTGGCAAAATCCACTCTAAATATCTGCCCATCTGACATTGTGCTGTTGGCATGCTTAGGCTAAGGGGAATGATCTGCTCCATTTCAGTCTGAGGGCAAAATTGGATGTTAGAGTGTTTAGAAAGGAAAAAGGAGCAAAAGGAGGAGGTGTTGCCGCAGCAGGGATGAAAACTGCTCAAGGAACTGGAGGCAAACAAAAGATTGGGAGAGAGCTTGGAGCCAGCTGACTGTCACAGGGTTAAGCACCCCACCTACATACAGCATCCTTCAAACTGCCAATTTACAATAATTTGATTATCTTTTCACTGGAGAGCAGGGTCTCATTAAGCAGCTGAAGTGGAATTTTGCAATGTGGTGTTAGATGACTGTGACATAATTGGAGAAGAATCTGGCAAGTGCTTTGCTGCTCCATGTCCTGGCAATGGCAGCCCCTTCCCAGGAGGGCAGTGAGCTCTGCTCCCTCCTGGGTGACACTGCCCAGCTTGTGACACACGGGGCTCCTCCTTACAGAGCCTCTGGCACCAGGCAGAGCATCCTTGGAGGTGCTTTTGGGATCTCTGTACTTCTTGTCATCTCCCTCTTCATTCCCCTTTCATGGAGCAGTGCAGCAGGCAGGGTGCATTGGAATGGGAACCTGTTATCACCAGGAATGTTTGTTTTTTAAAGATAATAGAATTTAAGGCAAGGCTTGAGATGTCCAGATCAATGTTTTTGTTTTCTGTTTCCTATTTTGGGATGAGAACAGAAACACGAGGTCAGCAGACTTCCAGGAAAGCCTGTTCTTGTCAGATTTCCAGCTGGTTTTTGAAAAGCCAAGAGAGATATGTTCAAATGATGTTGAAACCACAGTCAGGTCCCTGTCAAGACAGGCACTGCCCATCTCTGTATGGAGCTCTCGTTCCTGTGCTCAGAAGTTATATTTGTATAAATCAGAATTGGATCTGATGTCTTTTCTCATTCCCTTATTTCCCAGAAAGGCAAATACCAACAAAATAAACCCAGGAACAGTGTGGGCACAGGTGCCACGTGCTTTCTGTGAGGAGCGGGTGTGACCTCCCTGGCACCCCAGCACCCTCCAGGATCAATCCCTTTGCTGATGTTCTGGCACTGGCCATCAGTTCACGTGCAGACCAACCTCTGCTGCCTCCAGGGGAGGCTCCACTCAGGAACTGCCCCACGCTGCTGGGAGGAGAGCTCCAAAGGCCCCAGGGTCACCCCAGCAAACCAAGAGTCAGTTTTAGTGCTGGCTGGTGAGAGGGAGGTGCCCTGGAGCCCCTGGAACTGTGCTGAGTGTCTCTGTGCTGTCCTGGTGCCCCAGAGCCCCCAGAGCTGTGCTGAGTGTCTCTGTGCTGTCCTGGTGCCCCAGAGCCCCCAGAGCCGTGCTGAGTGTCTCTGTGCTGCCCCAGAGCCATGCTGAGTGTCTCTGTGATGCCCCAGAGCCGTGCTGAGTGTCTCTGTGCCCGCAGGTCTGTCAGCACCATCCGCAACCAGCGCTACCACATCCACGCCAACCTGTCGTGCGCCGTGCTGCTGGCCCAGGCCCTGCTGCTGGCCAGCTTCCAGCTCAGCCCCGCAACCGTGAGTCACTGGGGTCCCTGGGGACAGCTTCTGCCACGGGGCTCTGGCTGGAACTCGCCTTAGCCCGTCCTGCTGCAGGGGAACTCCTGAGGCATGGTACCAGGCTCTAAACCACTAAAACTGGCTCTAAACCAGCCAGGTTAGCGTAAGACAAATGAGCCAAGTTAACAGCATCACATAACCAATTTCTTTCCACTGTTAATTTTAAAAATGCAATTTAAAGTAACGTAAGGTCTTTGATGGGAAGTTCCACCTGAAGAGCAGAAACAAAACCTGATTTTGCAATTAATTTCCAGGGTGCTCGGTGTTTGTGCTGGTAAAAACTCGGTACTTTCGTGACCAGCTGCTGCTCCACATTATTTTTCAGAAGCAGCCAATGGTTTCTGTTATTGGGGGGGGGTGGTGGTGGTATTTTTTCTCAGTAGAAGTAAATATGAGGTTTGCACATTGTTCATTTTGCCAATACAACAGCTACCTAAATTTATAGTCAGCTCAAATGGGATCCTTTGAATTTCTGTTAAGTTTATAAATAACTGTAATGCATGGTTTGCACAGGCAGTCATTACCTGAGGACTTAAAAGCACTTTGGAAAACTAAGTTCATATTCTTTTGCTGTTTAACATTCGGGTGGGTCCTGAATGAGTCATGCAATGCCAGGGAGAAAATGAGAGGGGATGGTTTAGAAGGAAAATGGAATGGAGACATTGGAGAGCAGCAGAAGATGAGGCTGAAGACAGTAGAAACCAGGCATGAAAATAATCCTCTTTAAGTAGAGAGCTAAAACCCTGCTGAAAGGACACAGGCTTGAGGGCGATAGAAGGCTCACTCAGCATGACAGCGTGTGGTATTCTCACAGGTTTTTCTTCTTCATCCATCCCAAATTTGCAGGCAGTTCAGCTGAGTCACCTGAGATGGTGTGTGACAGCCTCCTCGCAGCCCAGCAGGGCCAGCACAGCCCCAGAGTGCTCCGAGGGCTGAAACTCCAGCTGTGTGAGCTGGTGTGGGAGCAGGCAGAGCCCCCTCCCCAGGGACCTGCCCCAGTGCCACCCACACCCCCGGCGGCCTTGCTCACACCCAGGTCCTGCTGCCTCAGTCAGGAACGCCCAGCAGGCTCAGGCTGCAGCTTAGGAGGTGCAGATTCCCTCTGGGACCCAGGCCAAACCTGCTTTGGTGGAATGGGACAGTAGCACGAGGAAGTGAGACCTGTTTTACACCCCAGGCTTTGGGAAATGGAATGCTTCACAGAATCCATGGATTTTTTTATTCCCACCTCCTCTGTAAGAGCTGTAATTGGGTGGGATAACTCTGTAAAGATCTGAAAGTTGACAGACGTGATGTAAATATTGTCTGCTGGGCTTTTATTTTTATGCTTTGTCCTCTTGGAATCCGGGGTTGTGATTCATCCTTTTATTGGTCTCCTGTCATTACCCACTCCTGACTAGTTTTGACAGCAGCCTAAACACCTTTAATTGCAGCTTTAATTGAGCTGCTGGGCGGTGGTTTACAGAATGAGGGAGGCAGTGTTTGCACTAGCAGGTGTCAGTCTGTAATTTTGCTCTGCCAGGGCTGCTGTGTCCTGCTGAGCCCTTTTGGGTGCCCCTGCAGGACCCTCTGTGCCCCTGCTCGAGGCTGGCATCACCTCCCTGCCCTGAGCCTCCCCATCCTTTCCCCACCTCTGGCTCTGGGGATGTTTCAGTTTTGATATTTCAGTTTTGATTGCAGATATGGCATACAGCATTCCCTGCTATTTTCAGATGCGTTATTTAATGATTTACAATTCATTCTACAGCAATTTTTCTTTTGTAGAATAGCAGTGGATTTTTATTTTCTTTTGTAGAATAATAGTGGTTTTTAACCACAATACTCTATCTTCACAAACAGGACTTTAATCTTTCCAGTACACCTAATTTACTCATTTATTTATGAAAAGCTGCTCATTGACACCTATCATCAATAGTGCTAAAATGGTAGTCTTAACTGATCATGGCACATTCCAGGAAGGCATTCTTCCCAAAATCAGGATGCCTTTTTATGTCTTTATATTACTGAGACTCAGGAAAATGAAAATTGAAGTAGAAGGTGTTAGCCAGCACTGGGTTTTTTCCAGCACAACCAGGAAAATCCAATGTCTCTGCTGTCTGCAGTTCTGGATCAGGGTATTTATCTCTTTCTCACTCAATACTCCTGCCTGGAATTGCTGGAAACATCCAAATGGAGAGGTGAAACAAGCTGCTTTTGTTTGTGATATAGCTGTAAAATTACCTATCTGTTTTGAGACTGTCCTCAGGAAAGAAAATGACAAATATTTTCTGTGAGGCCTTTCTGAAAGCCTGCTTTGCTTTCTCATCAGCAGTGGTAGGACAGACCTTGCTGCTGGCTGGGCTGCTGCTTCTGCTTCCACAGACCCTCCAGGTGTCAACTCTAAGAGTAGCAGGAGCAATATCTGCCTTTTTACAGTGTCCTGCTAAAATTAGGGTGTTTCACAAAGTGCAGCAAGAGAGGCAGGCTTGGGCTTGGTGTGTAAGGGCTCAGCTTCTCAGTGCCTTTACAGAAGGCAATTTTGCCATAGAAGAGTAGCTGCTAACCAATAATTAAGGCAAAAAACCCAACCAGAATGAGCAGCAGCTTTGCTATGGATTTTATGTACAAATCTGCAACTAGGTATTACACAAAATTCTATACAGACCAGCCTCCTGCTACTTCACTGTGTGCTGTTTTTCTGCGGCTTTGTGATTCATATTGTTTGGCTACTCAAAAGTTGGAAAATATCCATTTGACAGAACTAGCCTGTGCTTCAGCTTTATGTTGCATTTAGATTTTTGTAGACTAATCTTCTGGTAGAAATCAAAAGGCATTAAAATGGATTTTATAGCCTTATGATAAAATTAACTGCAAAGGCTCTTACAGCTTTTGTCAATAAGCTAATCTGGTTTAATAATATGTCACTGAACTTAGTGAAATACTAAACCACATACAGACCTCACTTACACAAATTAACCCCAAATTTATTGCTTTTGAACACAGGTAGTGCCACTGGATTTGCATTAGAATGTCCTTGCACCAGTCCCAGTGAGTCTGTACAGGAAAGGCTCCATTTTCATTATACTACCAAGTCCCAACCTTTTAATTTCCATTGGAGTACAAACTCCCAAATCATCAGCATCAAGAATAAAACGCCAGCCCAGCACAGCTCAGCTCACGCAGCAAAGGGACCTAACCATTAACATCTGAGGCAGCAAACTGGTTCCTACTGGTGGAGCTCCCCCACACAGCCCTGCCTGCCTGGAGCCCTCCGGGGGCTCCTCCAGCTGAGGGAGACAAAAGCCTTCATCCCCAGGGGCTGGGGGCAAGCTGTGAGAGCTCCAGGAGAGAGGCTGAGGAGGGGAAAAGGAGGGAGTGAGGGAAGGGAAGAGCAGAGAGTGAGGAAAGGAAAGGGGGAGCAGAGAGTGAGGAAAGGAAAGGGAAAAGCAGAGAGTGAGGAAAGGGAAAGCAGAGAGTGAGGAAAGGGAAAAGCAGAGAGTGAGGAAAGGGAAAGCAGAGAGTGAGGAAAGGGAAAAGCAGAGAGTGAGGAAAGGGAAAGCAGAGAGTGAGGAAAGGGAAAAGCAGAGAGTGAGGAAAGGGAAAGCAGAGAGTGAGGAAAGGGAAAAGCAGAGAGTGAGGAAAGGGAAAGCAGAGAGTGAGGAAAGGGAAAAGCAGAGAGTGAGGAAAGGGAAAGCAGAGAGTGAGGAAAGGGAAAAGCAGAGAGTGAGGAAAGGGAAAGCAGAGAGTGAGGAAAGGGAAAAGCAGAGAGTGAGGAAAGGGAAAGCAGAGAGTGAGGAAAGGGAAAAGCAGAGAGTGAGGAAAGGGAAAGCAGAGAGTGAGGAAAGGGAAAAGCAGAGAGTGAGGAAAGGGAAAGCAGAGAGTGAGGAAAGGGAAAAGCAGAGAGTGAGGAAAGGGAAAGCAGAGAGTGAGGAAAGGGAAAAGCAGAGAGTGAGGAAAGGGAAAGCAGAGAGTGAGGAAAGGGAAAAGCAGAGAGTGAGGAAAGGGAAAGCAGAGAGTGAGGAAAGGGAAAAGCAGAGAGTGAGGAAAGGGAAAGCAGAGAGTGAGGAAAGGGAAAAGCAGAGAGTGAGGAAAGGGAAAGCAGAGAGTGAGGAAAGGGAAAAGCAGAGAGTGAGGAAAGGGAAAGCAGAGAGTGAGGAAAGGGAAAAGCAGAGAGTGAGGAAAGGGAAAGCAGAGAGTGAGGAAAGGGAAAAGCAGAGAGTGAGGAAAGGGAAAGCAGAGAGTGAGGAAAGGCCAGTGGGGAGCACCTGAGGCTGGGGAAGAAGAAAGGATTCCATTCTGCTGTTTTTAAGGCTGGTCAGACAGAGGTTTAGAGGAAAATGAAAGATGGCTGAGAGGAGCACCTCAAGGAAAAGCAGGGTACAGGACAATGTTGTACCCCACTTCCCTGACTCCTGTATTTACTACAGGCTCAGCAGCCAGATGCAGACACCGAGTTTTGATTCCCTACATATTTTGTAGACTTTAATGGGAGTATTGCTCCTACTGTTATAAATAAATAACACATTTGGATTTCCACACCACATTTGGCAATGTTGTTAGGGTTTTGTTTTTTTTTTTTTTTAAAGTTAAGAGGATTTATTACTCTGAAGCTATCTGAAAATGCAGTAGAAAAATGAAATTGTCTATTGCTTTCTAAGACAGTTTTACTCCAGTGATTTAGCATTTAGCCTGTAAATGTCTATAGAACTTAAAAAGAAAACTGATGTGACCGTATCACAAAGAACTAATGTATTCATTTTTACTCTTAATTTAGCTGCCTTGCAAGATATTGGCCATTCTCCTTCATTTTTTCTTCCTGAGTGCATTTGCATGGATGCTGGTGGAAGGATTTCATCTTTACAGCATGGTGATCAAAGTATTTGGGTCAGAAGAAAGCAAGCATTTATATTATTATGGAATTGGATGGGGTAAGCATTTAGTAGCTGCTTACTTTAAGTCTCCTCACTGTAGGACAAGATTATATTGAGAAGCATATTTGGAATTGTCATCTTACCATCACAGTTTGCCTTACTGAGAGTAGGTCTGTTGGATGGGAAAATGCATAATTTTTCTGAGTGCCATCAGGCTTCAGAAGGTGTAGTCCTTGAGCGTGCCTGCCCTGCAGGGAATGGCACAGCCTCTCCAGGCCAGGTCAGACCCACGGCAGCCCGAGGGAGGGAACCTCAGCACGCTGCTGTGCTCCTTCCTTGCTTCTGACCCGCACCAGGGGCTCATTCCCCCTGCCTTCTGCAAAGCCATGCATCAAAAACAGGCACAGCAGTGTCACAGGCCTTCAGGGGCTGCCCTTTGCTGCAGCAAAGCTTTGCTGTCCCACCATTTGCAGGATGCTGTGACAGAGTTTGTGGTGCTGGATGTTTTCCCACTTCAGCCAGTTTCCTTTCCTTCAGAAACTACCACAGAGTGAAGACTTTTTTCTGAGCTCTCAAATGACATAAATTCCATTATTTCCTGTTATTTGTTGCCCAGATCTGATATAACACAGCAGAAGAAAATCATAGAAAATGAACTTCCCAATATAAATGGGAGAATATACTCATCCCCATCAAGCAAAGTAGATATTTTCATCATTGGAAGGAAATACACTTTCATTTGTGTCTAATGCTTCATCTTTCTCAATAAATGACACCCATAGCCTTTTAGAATTGATGTCCTAAAATTGTTTTGAATTTTTTGCCACAGAGTTTCTACAACCTGTTTTCTTGTATTCTTCTGGGCTTTTTCTTGTATAGAAGACACAGAAGCTTTCAAAGTACAATGCTTCTTAACTACTGAGGATACAACATATTTATAAATATCTATTCATATATTATACAATATATATTCATATATATATAAATTATATAAAATATATAAATATTTATAAATGTGCTTCTAGCTGCAGTTATTAAAGAATGAAAGTACTTCTTCCAAGAATGATATTTCTGCCAGTGCTGGAAAACTTTACACAATTTGTGAGGATGATAGTGGTAAAATTAAGCAGAAATTGCCTGTCAGAGAATTTTGTAAAACCCTCATGCAGAAAACCTAAAGAATTAAAAAGAAAATTGAAACTTTAAGCTATCATGTCTAATACTCTGTCTGGGACCTGTTTATTAAATTCTGTAAGATGATCAAAGCTCAAACCTTCACATTTTATTAAATCATACAGGAATTAGCAGGCAATCATTTAATGTTTGAAGGGATGGGTTTGCTGCATTCAGAACTGCTGGCAATGAACCCCTTGCCTCCTCTCCAACTCCTGGCCTGGAATGAAGTGGCACAACAGGACCTGGCAGTGCTGGGGCCAGAGCAGCTCTGACACCAGGAGCAGATCAGCATCTGTGTGATTTGTGTGATTCCTGTGGATCAGAACCAGATCTGCCTCTGTGTAACTTGTATAATTTAATTCCTGTGTCACCAGGAGCAGAACTGCCTCTGTGTAATTCCCGTGTTATCCCATGAACATTTCTCCACCTCTTAGGGCACAGCCCACTTCACCAGTCAACACCATCTGGAAACAGTTTCCTCTAAACACAGAAATCTTGCAGACCCATGGCATATTTTTGTTACAATCAGCCTTGACTGGGCACCCGAGGCAGTCTGAGTTTGCTGGGTGTGATGCTCTGAATACCCAAGTGTCACCACTCCTGTCCTCTCACCTGCTGTTCATGCACCCCTGTGAGAAACTCTGCTCTCCTGTCTAAGTCATTCTGAATTCTTGAGAAAAATGCCCTTACCTGGGGGAAGGTGGTTAAAATAAGGCTGATAGTGCTTCACATGTATCACTGCTTGGATAGCAAGAGGCAGAAAGTCCATAAACCAAAACCAGGCTTACACAGGACTGTGATTCCCAAGGAAATTAGCACTGATCCAGTTTAACAGTTAAACTAGTCCTTTATTAAAAAGTCATTTTGTCTGACATCAGTTAATTAATGTTGGATTAAACAGCTGCAGGAGGATGTCAAGTTAGACTTAATTTGAAAATGGCTCTGAGCTGTTCTGTTCATACAAAATTTAGCAGAACTTGCAGGGCTTACTGGAAGATGTACTTTTATTCCTAATAATGCCTCTGCCTTTTTCTGCCTTGCTGCAGGCTGCCCACTGGTGATCTGTGTCATCTCTGCAACCTCCTCCCTGGACAGCTACGGAGAAAGTGGCAAGTGAGTACAACAGCCCCTCCCTGCAGGTGCCACAGGGATGAGGACCTGATGGGGAGGAAATGTGTAAATGTGTCAGCTGGGCTGTGGTGCTGCAAGAGCCTCCTGAGGAGCAGGGCAGAGAGGCTGCAGAAGAATGACTTGTGTAGAGATGTTGTTAAACATAGAAGCCTCAAGTCTGGTTTTCACAGAGATGATGCACAAAAAGCTCCTGAGGTGTTTTTCCTACTTTTTACTGAAGAGCTCCTCAGTGAGCTCCCTGCTCAGGGGGGAAAAACTTTCACCAAGATGAGAATAATCATTTATTAAAGATATTCAACCTTCCAAAGAAAACTGCAGTTACACACCTGAAATCTGGAATGGATAATGTCCAAAACTTTGAAAATTAATTTCCTTTCTAGTTTAGGAAAAGAATAGCAAAATTATCTGAAAGAACACCATAGGATTTAATCCCAAAATAATTTCACAGGTGGTAAACTGGTTCATCTCTTCAGGGCTGTAGGAAGGCCCTGATTGTGTTTGCCAGCCCCTTCCCCAGCACCAGCCAGGGGAGGCAGGGAGGGCTTCAATTTGTCTTTGGCTCCAATGAGACAAATTCACTGCAATGAGACATTTCAGAGTGCTCCAGCACTGAAACAGCCTGTGGCCCAGGACACCAGAACAGCAAATTGCAAATAAAACATTTCCTGTCTCCCATCTTTGCACTCCTGTGAGGGTGGGCTGGGGCAGAGAGGTGACACTGAGCGTGTGGCAAATCCAGGTGAGATCCCACCCTGGATCCCAGTGTGAGGGAAAGGAGCCTTTTCCTGGAGTGCTCCCCCATCTCTGCTTTCAAAATTCATCACTCTTCTTGCATTCTCTTTTAGTTGCTTATAAATTGGGTTTTTTTAACTAACAGCATTACTGATTAAATGACTGTGTTCCTCTGAAACACCTCTGGTCTCCCCTGCAGCTGCTGGCTTTCCCTGGAGGATGGAGCAATCTGGGCTTTCGTGGCACCGGCGATGTTTGTAATCCTGGTAGGTACCAGCAGAGCAGCTGCTCTCTGTGCCAGCAGGGCTGGCTCTCACCTTGTGCCAGCAGGGCTGGCTCTCACCTTCTGCCAGCCCCTGCAACTGCACTCCTGAGTCCTCCAGAAACCCTTGGCTCCTGCTCCCAGGTGTTCTGTTGTGCATGGGTGTGTGTTAGTGTATGCATATTAATTCTCACACTGTTAATTTCATTATTCAAAGACAAGGATAGGGCCTAAAATAGTGGGACAGCCCAGCTGGGGTCATTAATAACTGTGTGAGGCCAAGTGCTCTTGGGAGCTTTAGCAGCTCTCAGAAACAGCTCCTGGAGAGCACCCCAGGTGAGTTTGCAGGGCTCAGGCAGGGCAGGGCTGTCCAGGTGAGTTTGCAGAGCTCAGGTGAGGCTCTCAGTGAGTTTGCAGGGCTCAGGTGAGGCTGTCCAGGTGAGTTTGCAGGGCTCAGGCAGGGCAGGGCTGTCCAGGTGAGTTTGCAGAGCTCAGGTGAGGCTCTCAGTGAGTTTGCAGGGCTCAGGTGAGGCTCTCAGTGAGTTTGCTGGTCCAGCTCTATGAGCTGCCCTTCCCAGGGCAGCAGGGCCAGGCTGCAGCGCTGGCACACCAGCACTGCACAGCATGAGGAGTGATGCTCACACATTAAATTCTGTTCAGCACTGTGATTGCTTCAGGAGTCAGGAGTGTTTTAGTACCTGTGCCAGATCAGCTCCTCTTCTGCCCTGTTTCTGATGCCTCCACTGACCAGCTGATCTGCAGTGCTTTCTGCAGGCTGCAGTGCCAGATTGGGAGCCTGGAGGCTCACTGATCAGTGAAACCAGGTTAATGTCTAAAGCTCTATGGAGATCTTTAGAGGCATGGACATTTTAAAAAAAGGCACAGAGAAACTTGCCCAGATTTCATCAGAGAGCAAACCCCCACAGATCCTGCTCAGAAGCCAAAGGAAGGAATAAATCCACATATGCATAACTAGTGTTTACCATTGCATACCTCTGCACCCATCTGGCAGACAGAAGGTATACTCTGAGCTTCTGTATGTCAGTTTGCATTCAAAGGTATGGAGATACAGATGACTGGAGAGCAATTAAAATAATCTAATTTTCATATGTCCCCTCCTCACACTAGCACTTGCTTTCTGGCCACTTTCAGCACCAAAGGAGGAAGTGAGGTGCAGCCAGTGGCACCAAACCTTCCCAGGCTGGTGGTAACCAAAACACACCAGGTAGGGAAATGCTCACTCACCTGAGCCAGCACAGCCTCCAAGAGTTTGCATGAGCAGCTGCTTGGCAGAGAAAGTAAGAGTTTAACTGTCTGGCTCTGACTTATGATATATAACATTTGTGCAGCTCAAATTATGTTCTTCTAGGGATACAAATACTTTCAGAAAGAGAAAGAGTGAGCTCACAAGGTTGATCCATGTAGAGCAATTTGTTAAATAGTCTAAACCCAGCTCTGCCCAAAATAGCAGCAAGAGAGCTGACAAATTACCTCTCTGGGCATTGGAAATTCCAGCTGAAAAATGTGTTAGTGCCTATAGGGAAATAACAGGGCTAAACACTATCTGGTGTGTGTGCATGTGTGCCTGTGTTCTTTAAATAACAAATTAGCCACCAGCTGCATAAACTAACATTTAAGTCTGAAAATACTTCTCAAAAAGCAGTTTTTGACTAGTTGGATCCACAGTGTCTCTGCCAAGAAAAAGGATTATGCTGTGAGGAAAAGAAGGGGATTGCTCCTCTCAACTCCCAGTCCCCAGAGAGCAGGCAGGCTCAGTCCACTTTTATCCTGCCCAGCCTCACAGGCACTCCAGACACCATGGAGCCTGAAGCAGAAAGATGTGGAGGGACTGTGACTGGGGAAAACCACTCACACACTTTTCTAGGCAGTAATTCACAGAACCTCCCAGCCCTACACAGACTCCCATACCAAATATGCTCTGTCCTTGGGCTTTGAGTCAAGGATATGATGCAGGAAATAGTTCCTTCTATATGTAGGTCTTTTGGCTTCTACCTACATCTTAAGGCTTAAGATCACTCTCCCCCACACCCCAAACCACAACACACAAACCTCTTTATCATCCTCCTAAAGCAGCTTCACAAAAGCCCTTGCAATTAATTTACAAACCAAACTAAGCTCAGCCCAAGTGGCCCTGGGACGTTTCTTCAGCCGAGGGAGGAAAACCCAACTTGACAAAGCGCCTGAATTTCTGACAGAAGACATGAAAACTTCTGGCAGAAGGCTTTGTTTGTCATCAGCCATCTGCTGCCTTGGTGTGCTTCCATGGATGTGGCAGAATTCAGGGAATTCTGAGGAAGGCATCTGTGTGCCTGGAGAGGCTGGGCTGCAGGCAGGGAGTGAGCACAAGCTGGGCTGCAGTGGCAAGGCCTCTCCTGCTGCCCCTGTACATTGATATTTTCCTGGTGGTGCAGTTCCAGTGAGGGTTTGCAAGGCTCTGAGCACAGCACAGAAATGGTTCTCTCAAATATGCTCGTTACCACCTCAAAGGATTTACAGAGGTTATTTACAAAATACGATTTGGTAGCAATAGGGAAAATGATCCCAAGACCATTGAATTTCACCTCTTATCTCTGTAAAGCTGATTGAGCAACAGGTACACTTGAGGAGCTGGCAGTTCCACAGGATAGCCTTTGGATAAACTCAAAAAATGAACTATTTCAGATATGCTCTCATGCTACAGCAGGTGACGATCTGCCTTTAGAAACCTAAAATTAAAAAAGGTCAGAAGATTTGGGAAAACCCAAGGAAATCATTATAATAAAATTTAAACATCTTTAATTCACCCTCCCATCCTCAGCATTAGAATATATATGTCAAAGTAGAGGATGATTATTGAGTTTTAACTGAGGAACAGCACTTTTTTGGAAGTCTTCTCTTTCTTTTTGTTCCGTAGTTCGGGATAGTTTTGTTCTACCCTTCTTCTTGATGCTTTGTAGCTGATGTGCAGCTTTGGACAGAAAGGGGGAAATATGTCTTTCACCTTCACATTGTCTACCTTTTTTTTTTCTTTAAACCCAAGGTCTTTGCACAGCAAGACAGTCTTTGCCACATTTCCTTTGAGAGATAAAGATTTCCTTCTTTCTTCACCTGTGACTCCAGCACAAACTTTCTTTTGTTGAACACTTTCAATGTTAGTCTTTTCAAGATTTCTACTTTTCTGTTGGGAATTCTTTTCATTTTATTGATGTTTCTGCTGGACCTGACATCAAGAGGAGTGGAGCCTTTGAAGAGCAGGGCTCAGATTTACCATGTTTTCCCCACTGCTCCTGTCAGGGTATCAGTCAGGGGATGGATTTACAGCCGGATATAGATTGACAATCAGGGTATTGATTTACAATCAGGGTATAGATTTACAGCCAGGGTATTGATTTACAGCAAGGATATCAATCAGGGGATGGATTTACAGCCAGGGTATTGATTTACAGTCAGGGTATCAATCAGGGTATTGATTTATAGCCAGGGTATTGATCAAAATATTGATTTCCAGTCAGGGTATTGATTTCTAGTCAGGGTATTGATTTGTGTGTGGGGATCCTGAGCACCTTGGCTGTGGGGCACTGCACCCATCCAGCCTTTTCCTGACAGGCAAGGGAGCTGCTGAAGGAAGGGGGAAAGCTGTGGGGGTGGGAATCATTGACACGGGACAAACCACACCAGGCCAGCCTTGCAGCCTCTCTTGGCAAATGAAGAGCCCAGACAGTTCCTGTTTCCTGCTGTGTTTGCACAGTACCCCCAGGGCTGCCTGCTCCCCAGACCCAGTCACAGCTCTCCTGACCAAGGCTTCTTCCTCCTCCTCCTCCAGGTGAACATTGGCATCCTCATTGCTGTCACAAGAGTCATCTCCAGAATCAGTGCAGACAACTACAAGGTCCATGGAGATGCTAATGCCTTCAAGTAAGTTTTTCTCATTGAAATGATGACAACAATCTCCCACAGCAATGTTACACCAGGGACTCTCCCAGAACACTGACCTGACTCCCCAGTAAAAGCAAATACAGTTAAAGGTGTCCTCCACTGGAATGCAGAGAGTTAACATGTATTTTATCAAAGCTGCACGGGGTGAAACCTGTGCTGCAGCAGGAGCTGAAGTGTCTCCCTGCCTGTTGCAGACCCCAGCATTTGCTGATTCATTATTTTCCCTTTGTTAATGGAGACTTTCCTCTTCCTGCTACAGTCAAAAGCTGAATTTCACAGAGCATCATTAATCTGTACTGGGTTATTGCAACTCTTCAGAGGACAGACCTTGCTTCTAGCCCCAGTTCAGTATAACATTTAGGCATATGCTTATCTTTAAGACTCTCTTGACATTACAAAGCACACAGACTTACACTGGATTTAAATGTGTGCCTAAATTCAAGCAGATCTTTATATCATAGTGCCTTGAGCCTCATGGGGTGGTGGCCTCTGAGAGTGAGTCATCTTTGAAATAGCACTAGCAAGTCTGGAGGGGAAATGTAAGGCACACACAAAGCTACCTCTGAATCTACAAGGACAAATTCTGATCTCTGAAATATATATAGAGATTACAGGTGTGTAGCTAAGAACATAATTTAATGTATCTAAATTAAGGGCTAAATTAAGATGTTGAATATTCCATTTTGTATCTCCTAAAGAAGCTTTAGTCCAAATAGAGAAATGACACTGTACATAAATAAAAGAATATGGAACTTAGATAGAAGAAAAATGTGATGATGGTTTGTGTTTAATGTTTCTGAGGCACAGGTTATTGTATGATAAGGATTTGGTGCCACTGTTCTGAAATGGTATCATAAAAAATAATTTTTATGCTTGGATTACTTATGTAATTTTGAAATTGTCATTAAGTTTTAAATACTGGTGACAGTTACCTAATTGAAGTTAGTTTACTTATTATACACTTACCCAACAGGAAAAGAAAACCAGTAAATAAGTCTACACAAAAATCAATAAGATAATTACACTGTAGTGAAATGAGAAACCTGGGAATTAAAATGACTGTTTCAGGTTTGGCTGAGTTCCTGTGACCTTCAGAAATACAAAGGAAATATAGAAACTTAGGAAGCAAAGAACTGTGTATTGTCAATGCCAATTTTTATGCACTGTTGGAAATATGAAGACAAAGACACATCTCCACAAGTACGAGAGGAGCTACAGAGATTGCTCCATGTACTGGGATATTTTACTGTAGTGCAAGGAGTGGCTTCAACACACACTGCACCCTGCACACTAACACACATTATTTTTTTTTTAACTGTGTGTGTGCACATAAGTAAATTGATTTAAGAATGATTGGTCAAGGAACAGGATGTAATGCCTTTAATGAGGAGCACATGTTCTTAGCCGAAACATTATCAGCTGTAGATTTGGAATGGGGTAACTCTGTACTGAAAATGAGACTTCTCCAGGTACCCTGGCTGAGAGATGCTCTTTGTGCCAAGTCATTTTCACATGACAGTTTCAGGATTTGACCTAACAAAAGTTACAGGGAAAAAAGTGGAGAAAAAAAATATCAGAAGGCTGATACATCTGAAAACTTGAACCAATAAGTTATTAAGTGGAAATATGCTCTGATGGAACAGCTTTCCTCACACAGATAAATTAAGTCAACAAAATAAGAAAGGCAAACAGAACACAGAGAATAGTTCTTCTGTACATATCATTACAGAAGTGGGTCCTCAAAGGAAGTTTGAAATGAGAAGTGCATAAATACATGTTCAAATCAAATCTTGGGAAGTGTTTATACCCTGATTTAACATAGCAGTGAGGCATGATGAATTAGAGTTTTATGTACAGAGGATGTCATGGAGAAAGCAACTGGTCTATTGGAAAAAAAAGATAATTCTAAAGTCTTTGTAGCACCAAGTTGATATGCTAGTATGAAATCCTTGTGTGTATTTTCCAAGAAATAAGAGAAGAAAGCAGAGCAGGGCTGTGATCTGACAGGTGCAGGGAAGTGTTTCTCGCGGTGTGAAATCCCCGTGGCTCCCAGCATTACAGCTCCTGGGAGCTGATTACAGGCTGTTAACCCGGGAGGGTGCATGTGCACAGCAAAACACATCAGTGACAAACACAGAGAACAGAAAAGCAGAAAGGTTTATAGCTTCTGTGAGGAAGGACTGCAGGGGAGATTTTGGATCAACAAGTTGAGCTGGCTGAGGGAGGAACCCCCGAAGGCTGCAGAATGCTCTGAGCACTGTGATCCCCAAACAAAGGGGCTGCCAGGCATCCCCGGGTGCTGCACCTCGTGGGCATCGCTGTGGGCAGGACTGGGCAGTGCAGAGCAGCTCGTCAAGCCTTCTCACAGAGCCAGGGCTGCATGGAGCTGGCACGGTGGGGTTTGGTGAGGCAGGGAAGCCTGGGCACCCCCTCACAGCAGCCACGGGGGACGTGAGGAGGAGAGGCTCCTTCAGAGCTGGGCTTGTGCTTTCCAACAGCCCAAGGCAGAAAATGGGAGCTGCAGGGCAAGGAGCTGTGGAGGAAAACCTGCCCAGTGCAGTGAACCTGAGGCAGAAAAGAAGAGGGACTTCAGTGCTGTGTTTTCCAGCTGGGGTGAGGCGTACACAGGCAGCACGGTCAGACAGTGAGTGCAGGGACAGCAGGCTGGACAGCAGGTCAGACAGTTTCCCAGCAGGGTAACACCTACAGTGACAATGAGCTGAAGGACCTGGACTTGTGGCTGTGGCACTGACCAGAGTGGCTGTGGCAGGAGCACGAGTTGATGCCAGTGCCACCTCTCTCCTGGTGGCTCAGGCCAGCACTCACTTCCACCTGTAAGCAGCTGGCTGAGTGGCCTCACACTTGTGGGTGTTTCCAAGTCCAAACCAAGCAGCTGCTGCAGCCCAGAAGTCCCAGAAATCCCTGCAGGTTTCACAGAACAGGCTCCTGCCCAGGCTCGCCTCTGGCCAGGCTCTGCTGCCACAGGAAAACTTCAATCACTCTGACAAGGACTGAACCCCACTGCTGCTGGCTGCAGGATGGGAGAGGACCTGCCCTGGCTCAGTCTCCCCTGAACTCCTGAGCTCAGTCAAGCTGCCACCACGTCCACAGGACCCTGGTCCTTGCTCTTGGCTCCTGCTGCAGCTGATGTCCTCTCTTAAATGCTCATCTCCCTTGCCCTAAAAGCTCTGATTTCTCCCCAGTGGCAGAGGGAAGCCCAGGCTGTGCTCAGACACCATCTCTGCATGTCTCAAGCCAGGTGTGGTGACTCAGGCCACGCCTGAGCAGAGATCACCTGAGAAATCCTGAGAACAAAGACACATTTTGAGTCGTGACAGTATCAGTTAGAAAGGGTGTTTATTGCTAGAGAAGTGCTGCTGCTGGAGCATGTTTACTTTCTGAAAAATTAAGTTACTTGGCAATGCAAGTGGATATTTCCAACAGGGCTTGTTTCTCTTGGCAACAAACAGCGATAAACTGATGTAATTATTTCGAGTAATTGTTCCTGATTTTCCATATGGCAGCAGGTCCTCTCAAATGCTGACAAAGGGGACTGCAGAATGTGCACCAGGGCGAGCCAGTGCTCTGCTTGGAAGGCAGCAGCTGGCAAACTTCAGGTTTAAAAGGCAAAGCAGAAAAGAAAGTTGTGAACAAAATTCCTTTTAGTGTCCCAAAATTAATTTCTTATTCATCTGCCCCACTGGCATTTCCCTGAGCACAAAGTGCAGCTCCTGCTTATCGATCCCTCCAGGTTCTGATGCTGCTTGTCACAGAGGAGACATCAGAGAGCCTCCTGCTGAACATCTTGTTCTGCTTTCACTGCCACTGTGGGCTCATGTGTGTGTTTAAAGCAAATAAAAATAGTGCCCCTAAAATGAATTTAAGAAGCAACATAAAAGACTGAGCTTTAATGATACATAAACTGCAAAATACCCAGTAATTTGAGGCAAAATGAATACAATTAAACAGTTGATGATCAGAGACACTATTTAAAGCATGATAGACTCCTGTGACAGTCTGAATAGTATTTGGTCACTGTAGTAATTTTCATATGTGTGTGAAAATAGCTACTTTTTTAGTGTCTGAAACTTTAATTCTGCAAGACCAATTTACTGGAAAGAGCTGAGCAAATAATTATAATCTCCTTTTATTATTTGAATTTACTTAAGATCATAATTTTGTATTGTTTTTGAAGCATATCGAACACGTATAGAAGATGAACTTTTCCTTTAGTTGTCATTGATTATTCTTGAACCTTTTATCAGAGGATTAGCTATTGATTCTCAGCAAAATAATTTTGAACAATAATTCAGTTGTGGCTTAATGAGAATGTTTTGCATCCAGGGAACAGATTTTCTGCCAAAAAGCTAATTTGTTATAGTTTATAGAATGCTGAATCTAATACCTTGAAATATTCAAATGCATCCATACAGCATTTGTTTGAAATATCCATTCTTTTTTTAGGGACATAACTAATCATATGTTTGAGTTTAAGCACACAAGTAGCCTCTCTAAGCTTAATGCAATTAAAGCAGATTAGTTTAATGGAATTGCTCATGTGCTTGAAAAGGCACATGATTACATTTCTGAGTTATGAACCATTTGAACTCTTTTTCTGACTTATTTCTGCTGCATCTAAAGACTTAACTCTATTCAGCACATTCATGTATGTATAAGGGCCTAAATAAGGGGTTTTTTTGCTTACTGCCCCACCAAAGGCTCATTGCTTTTTGCATGGCAAGTGTTTTCTCTGTTACAGTGGGAAGGGATCCCCAGTGTGACAGGGTTAGAAAAGTGCACCTTTCACTCCCCCTGGGGACAGCTCTCGCCTGATTCCATTGAGCACAGGTAATGATTTCTCTGCCTGAGTTCCCTCGACTGCCAGGGCTAAAGCAGGACACAAAGGCTTCTCGAAGGTCTGGGTGGCACTGACAGATGCTAACTGCAGCACAGGAAGGCAGGGCCAGCCTGTCTCCATT